TAGCCAACCCCTACCCGCGCTGTGCACAGGGATATAGCCAACCCCTATCCGCGCTGTGCACAGGGATATAGCCAAACCCTATCCGCGCTGTGCACAGGGATATAGCCAACTCCTATCTGCGCTGTGCACAGGGATATAGCCAACTCCTATCAGCGCTGTGCATAGGGATATAGCCAACCCCTATCCGCGCTGTGCACAGGGTATAACCAACCCCTATTCTCCTGGCTCTGGACCCTCAGGGCTCTCTAGAGAACATGTTACTAAGAAATGAACCTATAGTGTGACCATGATGATGATATTGAGCAGGAGGACCTTGGAATTCACTCAGCACCATCTAAGTAGTAATCCCTTGTCCACCTCCCTCTGCTCCCCAACTGTGTCCGCCTTGTTCTGGATTTGCTTGGCTCTGTGTTTCTGTGTCCCTGTGCATACTGTGTTCACGCTCTCACGCTCTCGTTCCCTCTCCTCACTCTGCTTATCCCCAGCGCTTGCTGACTTCTCTCTGCACCCAGAGTCCCAGACAGTGGAGGAGAATGGGACAGCACGCTTTGAATGTCACACGGAGGGGCTGCCAGTCCCCATCATTACTTGGGAAAAAGACCAGGTGACAGTGCCTGAGGAGCCTCGGTGAGTGTCCCACAAAGGAGTCTGCCCCAATGTGCAGGGCAGAGGGTTCTGGTACATGCTTAGAGCTGGGATTCTTAGAGGCGAGGTGGTTCTAGTCACCTAAACTCAACCAAGAGCCAACTACTAGCCTGACTTCTAGCCAAGTTAAAAGGTTTCTTCTCTAGAAGAAAAGCCACCCACCAGGCTGGGGTACCCAGAACTGGAGGACAGTCTAGAGCCCTTCCGTAGTCTACTGCCTGCTTTACTGGGGGCACTAAGTGCCAGGGAGCTGCTGTGTTCTATTTACGACCACACCAGGAGCCACTGCAGAGGACCGGCTGGCTTCTGCTCAGATTGCTCTTTCCAAGGTTCCTCTAGAGTTTCTCCCTGGACTCCTCTCTTCTCTTCCTGACTCTACTCCACCCTTCATGTGCAGGCATCTGACCAGTAGGCTACAGGGTCTGTCTTGTTCCATCCCCTTCTCTTACTATAGAGATAGTGGCTTGATGGAACAATCCAGGCAAAGTTTCAGGTTGGAAGCAAAGCAGGACAGCCAGGACTTTTTCCCTGCGGTGAACTCCTGGCAAGTCCAGATACACACATAGCAGGCCAGAACCCTCCCTGCCTCTGTGGCCTCTGGGTTGACTTCAAGTCTTGGTCCTCACCTATGGATTCCACATCTTTGGGAGATGCAGCTCCAAAGATCTCTCCCAGGCATTCCACAGTCCTCTCCTGCTTCTGTCTGTCAGCTGTGTCTTTCTCCTCTTCTGCATGGAAGTGAGATCCCCCAACTCAGAAACACTGGCTTCCAAATCACTCCCAAGCACCACGCCCAACTCACTTTGTGACTGTTGAGCTGCTCCCAGCCTTGCTGACTTTTGTCCGAATCAGGGTGGGGAGTGGAAGGTGTAGCGAAATCACAGGATACCTGTGTTCAGATAGGATTGTCATTGACCTAGTGTAGCCTGGCCTCCACTCGTCCTTAGCGTCCCTCTTCATTCAGCTCTATTCTACCCATATCTGAGATGAAATGGAACAGACATTCAGTTAATTTGTGATTTCCCAAAATGTGGTCATTTATAGCATGTTAGTTTTTTTCAGTTTATTTTATATTTATTTTTGAGACAAGGTCTCATTCTAGTTCAGGCTGGCCTTAAACTCAACCAAGGGTGATCCTGATCTCCTGATCTTCCTTGTCTGCTGGGTTCAGAATAACAGTTTATGTGGTACTAGTGATGGAACCCAGGGTTTGAAGCATGCTAAGCAAGGACTCTTACTGACTGAGCTACCTCCCCAGCTCAAATATACATTTTTAAAGTTCATATAAACAAAAAAGAAAGGAGAATTGTCTCATTGCCCACCTACTGTTATTTTCTTTTGGGGGAGGTCAATTGTTTGCTTTTTTTCTGACATAGGGTCTTGCTAGGTAGCCCAGGCTAGCCTCAGACTTAAGACCTTTCTGCCTCAGTTTCTACAGTCCTAGAATTATAAGCCTGTGCCACCATACTTGGCCTCCATTTATTAATCTTTGCTTTTATTTTTCTCTCATTGTTAGGTTTCTGTTTTGCTTTAAGCAGGGTTTCCCTGTGTATCCCTGGTTTGTCTAGACCTCACTCTGTAGATCAGGCTGGCCTCAGCAAAACAGTGGGGGATCAGACTTCCCCTCCCAGCATCTAACTCAGGCATCATCCCATAGAGTTACAGGCCTCACCCATGAGGTGAGGCTGCCAGCTCCCAGCTCCAGCAGCGCTTGCCACCAAGTCCTCTGAAAATTGATCCTGGGCTATAAATAGCCCAGGCTCACATGCCCTAGCACATTGTGTCAGGGAATAAAGAAATGTCTAAAACAGCAACTTGATTTAGGCCAAGGTATGTATTTTTGCACGTGCCCAGATGTACAAATACGATAGTCATAAACACAGCCCAGTGGTTATAGGAGATTGTAAACTGAGCATCTGCAGCACAGGGGTACCCTGTGGGGGCGGGGGGAAAGCACATATTCTCCAACCAATGATAGCGCTAAACCTCAAGGCAATTCCCTGACATTTACTATTTATTTATTTACGTACTTGATTACTTATTTAAAGGCAGAATCTCAGGAGCTTAGACTGGCCTTGAACTCCTAATTCCCCAACTCCCTACTTTCCCAGCGCTGGGACTGCAGGCGTGAGCCACCGTGGCCTGTTCACAAGGTGCTGCGGATCGAACCCAGGCTTCTGTCTGTGTCTACTCTACCAGCTGAGCTACAGCCCAGCTCCACTTCCACAAATTTCTACTAAAAGGGGATACTTTTTCTTCCATAGGAGCCAGTCATGAATGAGACTAAAAATTGAATTTATGTTAAGATTTATGCCAAAATACACAACTTTATGGAATGAGAAGAGAAGCCACTAATGTTTTGAGTATTCCATCCAGGTCCTTTGAAATATATATGAGGTTCATACCTGTATAGATGTGTTTGGAGCTGGTAATTTACAGTGTCTCTGTCCCTGTAGAATGTGAGCTCATGGGAAGAGGGTCAGGGCTGTGAAGCTTGCAGGCCGGGCCTCACTGGGCCCTTTTTCCAGACGAGAACCCTGTTGCACAGACACATCATATCACTCGCTACAGTGACACGCATGAGAACCGGTTCTCTCACCCCTCTACACTGGTGCTTGTGTGCTGACGCCCTCCGTCACAAAACAGGGGGAAAGGCACACAGTTTGATGTTTCGCATTTGAGAACGTCCTGTCCCAGCATTTGGAAGGTTGAGGCAGGAGGATCAGAAGTTCAGGCTCATCCCCAGCTGCATGGAATGAGTTTAAGACCAGCCTGTGATAACCTATGGCAAATAATTATTTATCTCATTTTGTAAAGCTCAACTAGTAAGAATCCCTACTAGTCCCCCTCACAGAGGAAACCCCATGCACTACACAAGCTTCACTAACCTTGGCTTTTTCTTCATCCATCCCAACCTATTGTTTATCTGTTTTCCAAAACTAGAATTTCCTCCTAAGCAATACTTTGTGACTTCTCCCCTACTAACCAATACATCTGGGACATCTTCCCAGAATCAGAGCTTCCAAAACCACTCTGTAGCAAAAACAGAAAAGGTTTAGACAGCCGTGAGCAGGCAGGGTCCCACCTCACCTCTGGCTGCAACTACAGCCCTGTGCCTGAGGAAGGAAAATGTCCACTCATGCACACGAAGTGAAGTTCAAGGAACAGATTTGCTCTTGGCGCTTGGTACACCATTTTCCTGGCAGGACCGAGACCGTTAGGGTTAGACAGGGGAGGCAATTAGCTGAGCACTGTCTGGCTGGAGGATGGAGAGAAGAGAAAAGGCTGCGGAACACAGCATGCTAGGTAGAGTCTGGCATGAGGGGGTCTCACCAGGCACCTGCTTGTTCTACCTCATTTTCTCAAGACAGCGGGTTGGGTACCAGCCCAGATACTTCCCTGCATTCCGTCCTGCTCCACTGCCCCCACCTCTCTACCTTAGCGCTTGTGGATCTGGAGCTGAGGTCAGAGGTTATGTGGGGGTCAGGGATTCACCTGGGGGACAGGGAAAGGAGTCATACTGTTGCGGCAGGTTTCTAAGAACCTGTCCAGAATGTCTCCCAAGACCCTTCTTCAGTCCCTGGGCCACTCCACTTCTCCGGCAGTTAGGTTTTCTCAGTCCCTGCTTCTCCAGGAGCAAAGGGGCTTCCTCCAGCACACAACTGCCCTGCCCCCTCTGACTCCACCCAGTCTGTACACCTAAGATTGTCACCACCTGGAGCTGACCCTGTAGAAGACATCATCACCTCCTGCTTGGTTGAGCATACTCAGTGCCCACCCTCACAACCCTCCTGCTTCAGATTTCTCAAGCAAGGTCTCCTGGCCTCCTCAACCCTCTACCCAGGAGGGCAGGTAACAATGCCCTCATCCCTCCTGGCCCTCCAAACTGCTGTGTAGATTGCTGGATGGGACCTGCGGGAAACCACGCCCATTCCTTCCCATTGGCCTCCCTAGCTATGAGTAGTGGGCTGAACAGACCTGGATTCAAGATGTTTTGGTTTTGTGGTATGGTGTCACGTCATCTAGGCTGGCCTCAAGCTCACTACGTATTTACAGGATGACCTTGAACTTCTCATCCTCCTGCCTTCACCTCCCTAGTGCTGTAATTGCAGGCATGGAGCATTGCTGGTTTATACAGTGCTGAAGATGGAAGCTAGGGCCTGGTGCACACTAGATAAGCACTCTACTTAACTGAGCCACATCCCAAGACCCTGGTTTCAGGGTTTAACTGCCCCAGCTTGAAGATCCTGGGTGAACATCCTAATCTGAGATTCTGTTTTGTTACCATAAAATGGAGGTTGTGATTCTTTTGAGGGTCAAATGAGATAAGGGGATAAGGGAGTTTTTCTTGGTGGTGGGGAGGAAAAGAAAATACAGTAAGAGATTAATGGGGGGGGGCTGGCAAAGAGATGGCTCAGAAGTTAGAATGTGTACTGCCCCTCCAGAGGACCTGAGTTTAGTTTTCAGCATCCATATCAGGCTGCTCCAGACTGTCCGTAACTCCAGCTCCATCTGTAATCTCAGCCCTCTCCTGGTCTGCAGACACCTGACTAACACTTGCACACACCTACACATACATAATTCTTTAAAAATCCAAATTGTTAAAAGGGTGTGTGTGCATAATAAAAAATAAGTTCCTTATACACCCAGCTTCCAGGCTCCCAGGTCCCCTCCCCAAAGACAACCTCTGTTTACAGGAACATTCAGTTCACACACAACCCGGTAAGAATTTTAGTCTCCACTCATGTTATTCTGTGACACCAAAGCACACTGTGCAGATGGCTCCTGGCCCTGCTGCGTCCCATTTCAGGAAGTTCCCAAACCTGTGAACTCGGGTCAGGCCCAACAGTTTCCAGCCTCTGGTCTTGCGGAAAGGGGGTGCAGCAAACACTGGCTTATGTTTGTGCACACGTCTGGGACTCACTTGATAGACTCCAAGAAGTGCCAGGGCTGGATGAAAACCTCCTTGTTGCTGAACTGTGTGAGCTTGCCCAGGAAGGAGGAAATACTCAGTGACAGCTGTCAGACAATTGTACCTTCCTCGATTTCCTCACCCACCTGAGCTGTCACTAAATCTTCTGGTCTTGGCCAGATCTTACAGTTTGAATTTGCACTTCTGTCACTGTGGGCCATCTCGTACATGCCCTCCCCCACCTCACAGGCTCCTTCTGCTCCTTCTCAAGGCTTATCATTCTTCCCAATGGCGTCCTCCAGATCCTGGATGTCCAGGACAGTGACACAGGCTCCTACCGCTGCGTGGCCACCAATTCAGCCCGCCAACGCTTCAGCCACGAGGCTTTACTGAGTGTGGCCCTCAGAGGTAAGGGGATAGGTGAACAGAAAACCTGAAGCTTTCTGGGGACAGCCATCTTGGGAATGAAAGAGATCAGGCAAGATCTTCAGACAAATGATTGGGTAGTAGTTCTACATGAGGACAGAACTGGGGTTCGAGAACCAAACCCCAACTTCCAGTGGAGGGGTCCTTCCTTCTCACCGGGTATATATGTTTCCTAGAATTAGGTAGGAACTGGTGAGCAGGCGAGGTATCAAAGGAGGAGTGTCAATGCCCCCACAGTCTCTGGTTCCCTTCCGCCCCTCAGGTGCCCTAACTGCCCCACTCTCTGTTTCATATACTGTGAGTCTGGCTCTTTGCCACTTGCACGCCGATCCTTTTCTTTCTGCCTTTCTTTTTTCCTCAATTTTTTACATTTGTTTTTGTGTGTTTGTGCACACGTCCATGACACAAACAGACAACAATTTGGAGAAGTCAGTGTCTCCTTCCACTAAGTGGGTTCCTGGGATCTGACTTATGTCTCTGGCTTGGTGGCAAGTGTCTTTAGCTGTTGAGCCGTTTTGTGAGTCCCTTTTCTGCTTTTCTTTGAAAGGCTCCTGCCGGGATTAGATAGGGGCAAGGGCACCCCCTGGTTTTGGGTCACAAAGACCTGTTTTGAATCCTTATCCCTCAGTGTGGCCCTGGACTGGCGATCAAATGTCCAGCTCAGAGGGGTGAGAATAATAGCTTAGATGGGAATGCACAGTTTGTGGCGCTCAGCAGCTGCTCAACAGATCTCACTTCAAGCCTCCCCCAAGGTCGCTCACTTGTGCCATTCCTCCCCTTCGCTGGTCCCATCCTCTCCTCCCTGGGTTTCTCTAGACCGCTGCTCAGGGAGATCTTTGCGCTCTCTTCTGCACTGGGTCTCTGCCTCCCCCTGCTGGACAAACGAGGTGTTCACTATTCTGCGGTGCGTATAGAGTATTGGACAAAGAAAACACAACGCAAAGCTTCTGGCTAAAAATTGGAGTCCAACACTTGCTTTTGCACTTAGGAGCCCACCCCCACCCCAGGCACTTTGGGAAAGGGACCTGCCTAACTCACATAAAGCCTTATCGGTCTAGGTAATGGTAGATCTAGAATTGAGTGCTGGATCCAAGGCAGAGGACGGGTAGGATGGATTTGGGAGGAAATATGGGTGTGATCTGCCCAGTCATTTGAGGGGGGATTCATTTGTGTCGGAGAGCTTTCTTCTGACTCCAAGATAAGCCCTGAGGCCCAGGTCAGCTCTTTTGAACTTGGTAGCTGTTTCCTCACTTCCGACATAAGGAATCTTGATGCCACCTGCTCCCCTGCCTCGGCCATCACAGGAGCAGCAGGTGGCAGGTAGACCCCGTCCTTCTTTTGTCTCTCCAGGGTCCTTGGAGGCTAGCAGGGGCCAAGATGTGGTCATTGTGGCAGCCCCTGAGAACACCACAGTAGTGTCTGGACAGAGTGTAGTGATGGAGTGTGTGGCTTCTGCTGACCCCACGCCTTTTGTGTCCTGGGTCCGACAGGGTGAGTGCGGAGGGAAGAGGCAAGAGTTGGGGGAGTGGTCGGGATGGTACAGTGTCTCACAGGCTCCAAGTCAGAAGCTACCTAAAGATGGAAGGAGAGAACGAACTCCACAAAGTTGTTCTTTACCTCCGTAAGCACATTTGAGCATGCCCAACATGTATACACATTCATGCAATAATAAAGTGTAAAGAATGGGGTTGGAGGGGCTGGAGAGATGGCTCAGAGGTTAAGGGCACTGACTGCTCTTCCAGAGGTCCTGAGTTCAATTCCCTGCCCTCTTCTGGCCTGCAGATATACATGCAGACAGAACACTATGCCTTTAATCCCAGCACAGAGGGAGGCAGATCTCTGAGTTCAAGGCCAGCCTGGTTTACAGAGTGAGTTCCAGAAAACCAGGGCTACACAGAAAAAAACTCTGTCTCAAAACACAAAAAATAGAACACCAAAAAAGAAGGCTGTATTAAATGCATGCCCCACCCACCAGAGGCCCACCTCCCGTCTCTCATCTCACATCTATCTCGGGATCAGAGTTCTAGGTCTAGGAACTGGGACCAGAGGAACTGGGTTTCAAGCCAGTCACTGTGATCCTGCTTTGTCCGGGAGGGTGGGGAGGATCCCCTTAATTGGAGAAGGCGTGGAGGGACGGCCCCAGAGTCCCCCTCCAACCTGCTCCTTCTCTCTTCCCAGATGGGAAGCCTATCTCCACGGATGTCATCGTTTTGGGCCGGACCAATCTACTCATCGCCAGTGCGCAGCCCCGACACTCTGGTGTGTATGTCTGCCGAGCCAACAAGCCCCGCACTCGCGACTTCGCCACCGCTGCAGCTGAGCTCAGAGTGCTGGGTGAGTCTTGGAGCTGTGGGACACTAGGGACATTGGGTGTCAGAGGGAGGAGAGGGGGTTACCAGAAGATGAAGCGTGGAGAGGTAACATCCATGGAAGGAATCTTTATTTACTCATGGTGACTGTTGAAGACTGGCTTCAAGATGGAGGATAGAGGGCTGGAGAGATGGCTCAGTGGTTAAGAGCTTTGCCTGCTCTTCCAAAGGTCCTGAGTTCAATCCCCAGCAACCATATGGTGGCTTACAGCCATCTGTAATGAGTCTTGGTACCCTCTTCTGGCCTGCACTGTATACCTAATAAATAAATAAATAAATAAATAAATAAATAAATAAATAAATAAAT